AGATCATGTCGAGGACATTTTGAGTGATTTCCTCGGTAAGCACGTATGCCGTGCGTCCTGGTCGCTCCTCATCAAAAACGGATGTTCGCCCATGTTCAAATTCGTTGAACCAATATCTAACTGTGGTCATAGATGGCAAAGTGTCCCCATAACCAGCATCCTACTTTGATTTTATCTCATTTTTTCCCATCCAACAACTGTAAGCCTTCCTTTCCGCAAAAAGTCCAGAAAAGATGGAATGCAATGAAGATTCCAACTTTTCTGCACAATCACAGAAAGGGGGTTACCATTAGTTTCCGGTAGCTCAGTCGGTGGCATGAAGACATCTACAGGCGTGTAGCTGTGTGTCGACCATGGCATGGCTAGAGGATAGAAGAACAAACAGAACACAAAAATTTAACAGATTTTATTTAACAAAAAAGCATTTTCATTACATTACAATTTTAAAGAACAAAATAAGTTTTAAATCTTTGGCGCTGCTATAAAACTATACACTTATCTTTCGCTGGTCCATTTTGACTGGACTGAAGCGAGGATGGCCAGGTGATTGAAGTGGAGGCCCCCATTATGAGGGGTGACCACACTATTAGTGGCTTCAAAACCAGTTGTAGGCGAAGTTGAACTTAAAGGTGATGGCGCTGCCAAGGCACATGCATGGTGAAGTGATAGGCCAAGCATTCAAAGCAAAGGCTACATGAGTTGCAAAAGGCAAAAGTCAAAGACAAGGCAAAGGGAAAGGGAAAGGGGGTGCCCCATCTGGAAAAGAACCGTGTGCATTAGCAACGTGCCTAATGGCCAAGGCATTTCCAATCTCAGTCTGCCTCAAAGAGAACCAACGATTTTCTAGGTTAGAATTACAGTTACATAGTTTGATAAATCAAACCGAAAATTGGAATGCCTTTCAATAAAAAAAAATCATGAAATAGCAAAAAAAGCGTAAACAAGATGGTGGTCATCAAAAATTTCTCCACATGCTTCTGATATAAAAACACAAATATCGAATATTCATAATCAACGTACTCATAATTTCACTGGAACTATGATGAATACATATACGCAAACAGAGGTAAAATCGATGTGGATCGATTTCTATCTCGATTTGATTAAAGTTATGGCGAATGATCGAAGTAGTCGAAAATGACGTTCGATTGATATTTTAAAATCGTACAAGAAATAAACCACTTACATATCGACTATCTATAAACTACAGGCAGACCCAGCAATAAAACTGTATAGTATTATAAAACTCACCATTTTGTCCTATTCGGACACACATTCTACAAAATTCTAGCACATGGTGCTATATGAGTGTTCCCAGATGAGTTTTTTGATTATCAGTAGGTGGTCGCCTCGAAAATCAGTAGAATTCAGTATTTTTACGTGTATACATAGGCAACCAGTAAAACTTAGAATAAAATATAGAGATGAGATATTCAATAAAGAATCAAGGTTTTTAAATTATTACAAATATTTTTATTTTATATAAAAACCTCAACTAACAGATCAAAATGTATACAAACAAACTTTAAAAGAACAAAATATTCAAAATAATACATAATATTAATTTTTGCCTTTAGTTATCTGACTCCGAGTCGTCATCTGTGAGCCCTTCCTCACTTTGTTTTTTGTATATTTTGGAATTGTGATATTTTAAAATATCTTCGCCAAAATCCACAGAAAAGCATGTTTGATTGCTAGTTTTCAAATAATTTTTAGTGTGCAAGTTACCTACTATTGATACACTCGAAAGGCGATTTCGATGAGTAGTTTTCATGAGATTAACTTGTGAAAATGTGCGTTCCACATTCGCAGATGAATGTGGTAAGGACAGCATATTAAATGCAAAAGTTGAAAGTAGAGGAAACATAAAGGAGTCATCTCCATATTGAATTTTGCTAATTTTTGCCCAAAATTCTTTTGCATTTATATTGCTAGGAAAATCTTTAAAATTTCATTACTTCTAAGCAAGCGCCATTCATTGTCTATCGGTTGAATTTGATTTTCATTAACTAAATTATGAAAATGTTTTGCCAAGGGAATGACACTTAGGTGGTTTTTCATTAATTATTGTTGCAGGGTCAATTAATTCATGTTAATTAACACCTCATTGTTAAAATCAAATCTCTTGCATTTCTGGTGTGCACTTTCTACAAAAAACTCTAAACATCTTTTCCTTAAAGTTAAATTAGAATCTCTATCTAACATTAGTAGAGGTATCTTAGCCCCTAAATAAAGTTCTTCTAGTGGTAAAAGTTTCCGGGATCTCTATAATTAATAGCTTTTAAGGGTTGTGACTCGATAATGTCTCTTTTGATAAATATTCTAGTAAAACCTTGTAACTTGAGCTAATAGAACTATAATAAACTATGTATTTTGGGTTTTTCTGCCTGCATTTCTCTATTTAGGTTATTAAAAGGGGCAAAACAAATTGTAGAAACAGTAAAAATGCTTTGTCAGTGGATCTTTCAAATCATTTAAAATATTTTGAGCAGCTAAAACTCCTTCAGATATAGCGGCATCAGTGAAAAATAAAACAAGAGCATTATATTGCTCTAGCATTCTGTTTGAGAAGGTTGTAGGATCTTGTGTATAGGGGTTTCCGTAAATGTTTGAAACTCTTTGAGGATATCAATACGTTTCGGGCTGTTCGAGAAAAAATTATATACATTGCGAACCAAGTCTTCGGCACGCCTAGGTAATTTTGAGCACGCATTTGATGCACATAAACTAAAACTGTGGCATATACATTTGAGTGTGAACAAGTTTTGTATTTGTGCTTCTAGTTTTGTAGTTAATGAATTGAGTCTACCGACCATCACGCTGGCACCATTCGAGGCAAACCGATTAAATTATTTCGCCAGGGAATCCCATTGTTAACGAAAAAACGGACTATTTTTTCGTGAAGATCATCTGCTGTAGCTCCTTGGAGGGGTATCAAGGCCAGAAAACTGTCAGTAACTCTAAAAAACAAAAACATTATCAGAAAGTATATTTTTTATATTTTCTTGTTATATCTGTTTGAAAAGGGCGATCCCTTTATAGTTAAATTGACTAACTTTCATATGAAATTAAACACAATTAGAACTGATATAATTTTCATTAAACTTACTTGTCAACTTGGCGATATCTACTTATTAAACATAAATGCTTTGTGCAGCCTCTATCCGTAGATTCGTCAACAATTAACGAAAATTTCGTGCTTTTTAAATAGCACACAAGTTATCTAATTGTCTTTTTCCAATTACTTTGTTTACTATGGCGGAACATTTTGTTGGTTTACATTTAATATTTCTTGCTACTTATGAATCGGGGCATATTTTGGGAAGAAGTTGTACGAAATGGTTCATTATATTGTAGGATAAATTATGTTCCGAGACAAAAGCTGCTATGTGCATTTCAGATTTTTTTGTCGTTTTCTACAAATTGCAAAACTTTTTAAAAGATGCTAATGTTTGCTGGCCTTTTACAGATTTCAAACTTGTTCTGTGTCTTTCGCTGGCAATATGCCTTACTAGGGCCTGCTTTCCCGTTGTTTTGACTGATATATTTTTCTTGCAAGCTTTACAGTAGGCACTATTTTCTTCCCCTTGCTCTAACCAGCCTTGAAATCGGGATCATTTAGCCACGTTTTATTAAACTTTTGCGAATATTTAATTTTCTTGCTTCCCGAGGGAATTTCGCTTCCAGAATCATCAGATTCTGATTCATGTTCTCTCCTAAAATGAAAATTACTTCTTTTGTTTTCAACCTATAATAATAAATAAAGTAACTTACCTCATTTTATTTGAATTTCACCTCAATAAACTTCACCAAACATCAATAATTAATCAAATTTCTTTCTCTCACTTAATTTTTGGGTTTTGGGTACTACAATCGAAACTCTTTGAAATCGGGGAATCACCATATCACCAAGTTTACACAGAAAACAGCGGACAGCTGACTAAAGTGCCATCTGTTTGAGGATAATGCAACTCTGCAACACCTGTAGGCTGTAGGGGCCCGCAACGGCGATTTGAGTAAGTAGAAAATAAGCGCTAGATGGCGGTGGGAAATACGATACGATGTAGTATTTAATTCAATCTTGCTTTACAGAACCAGTTTTGCACAAAAGCACTTGCTATTGTGACTTGTTTTTTAATTTTTACTTAAGTTCTTTTTATACTTTACTTGACTTGATTTTTTCAGTAGATTTAAGAATGAAATCAGTAGATCAGTAGACGGAACCCTAAATCAGTAGATCTACTGATTTTTCAGTAGATCTGGGAACACTGGCTATATGACCTCATGCTACAGAGAACAAAATTCTTAGCTCTTGCTAGATCGGCGGCTCAAGTCAAAAAGAAGCGCGAGGAAGATCGCAGATCAGGAACTCCGCATCAAGCGCGCTCCAAGTGGGAATGTTTCCAAGTAAAAAAGCTAGAGATGGGATTAATGAAATGATAATCGAGAAGTGATTTAATAAATACGATCGGACGGTGAAACCGTTACACTCGCCCCTACTTAACCAGAAAAAAAATTCGAAGAAGCATTCAAGTATTTTTTTTAACAAGAAAATTGAAACTTATCACGGAAGGACAAATGTACAACCATTCGACCAGATAACAAGTAGCAAAAGTAAGGTAGAAACAGAAATGTTAGAAGAGAATTGGAAGAAAAAGGGATAGCCTCAAGTCTACCAAACAAGAGGGATGGTTATAGCACCAACTCGCTGAAAAGTACAGTGAAGTTTCACTTAAAAAAATATCATCATATGATGATCAACCCAAAACATGAACATCGTCACACCTAGGACGAGAAAAATAATAAACCAAAAGCTTCAGCAGTAGTCCAAGCACGAAGTGAGGAATCACAATGGCTTCCAAAATGCACGACTGACTACTAAACACTGCAAAACTAAGTAAGTACCTAAACCATAAGAGGTACTAAAAAACAGAATAAACTTTCTCAAGATAATTGCCAGATTATCTCGCAATGCTCCAAACCCAAAAGAATATCATCTACAGTGATATTTTAAACCAATATCCAATATAAAAAAACTGTGCATTACTATTTTCAAAATATGAAAATCAAAAGAAATTAACAAATTCTAATAGGAATTCAAGTCATATAACAAAACAATTTACAAGTACTAAGCCAATGAAAACTTGATCAAGAAGGTATTTTAATCAAAAAAGATGTTAACTAAGTGCAGTTCTGATTCCACAAAAAATTGTCGGGCGCCAGCAGTCTGTAAGACTACAAAATAATTCAAAATGTTTTCAGAGAATTAAAGTATATCAGAGACATTCATGAAATATTGAAGTAAGATTTTCAAAGTCAAATATAGCTTAAGTTCAATCAATGAACTAAAATTCAAGAGTAAGTTCAACCAAAATTTTCGGGTCATGTGACAATATAAGAACCAGACCAAAAAAAATTCTGAAGTTCAATATAGAAAAGAGCAAAATATATTTCCAAAAAAAAGTAAGTGCAACACAAGTGCAACTGTAAATCTAATAGTATTAAAATCATAAAGTGAAAGGAAATATCAAAGCCATATGAGCATGATTTTATAAAGAATTCTCAAAAAATACAAAAGTAAGCAAAATATTAAAATTTTCATGAGTAATAATTGAGAAATGAAGTGAGCATATGTAAAATGCAAAATAGCGAAACGAAAATCACAAGATATTTTAATAAATCATGATACGTGAGAGTAATGCCGCAAGCAAAAATTGTATGCAAAAGTCTACGATATATGTAGTTGCAAAATTGGAGTTATAAAAAAAATCTAGTGAACAAGAAATAGAAATAAATATGATAGGTAAGAATTCGAATTTTGATTTAAAGCAAAAATATGAGAGAAAGACAACTTTCTAGGGTCACCATAGGTGCACTCCAAAGCCCTAGACAAGAATGTCTATAGTCTATGGAATATTCTCATGTAGATCACTGATATCATCAGCGCACTAGTCTACACTGAGAATAACCATATCATTGTAAAATGAAAGTTAAGTTCTAATATGCAATATTACAAGATTAGAAAAACTATAATAATTTACCAATGTAAAGTATGAGAAGAAAATTACTATACTGAATCTATAAGAATGGCGATTACTTCAAGTCAAGACAGAAATTGAAAGAAATAAGGAAATCGGAAAAAAAAACTATAAGAGCAGACTATCAAAACAAATGCAATAATGCAAAAGCAAAACCACCAGATATTTCAAAATCTATAGCGAAACATGAAAGCAATGTCGCAACCAAGCTCAAGACTTAGCAATACGCACAAATGTGCACAAAGGCTGAAAGCATATATGAAAAATCTCAAGAAGGAATTGACAATTACTTCAAATCAAATTGAACTGATTGAGTTGAACTGAGACATAAATTACGATATCAAAAGTGAGTTTTACTTATACGCCAGAGGTTTCAAGAGTTTATCAATACGCACAGATTGCAACTAGGCGGAAAGCATATAGACAAGTCTCAAGAAAAAACAAAATGCATATGAAGAAAACACTTTCAATTAAGAAACTGTGGATAGTACAAGACCCTCAAAGGCATACATCGCAACGAATCTATGTAACTATCCAGACTACAAAATACTGTCAAAGTTCAAAGCCACTCAAAAATATATGAACAAACATCAAAAGTTTGAACCAAAATCAATGTAAGTCTGTGCTCTCGAAGAAAGTTATAAACTATTCAAAAAGAGGATACTATCAAAAACTTCAAAAGTAATAGACTTCAAAAATAGAGGTACGTAAGTATGTAAAAGAAATTCAGAAATATACGCATAAAAACATTATAAATATTATACACAGTATTTGTCACATGATTTGAATGCAATTTAAATTTTGAGTACACTCAGAAAAATGAAATATTTGAAAGATTAAGTATACACATTAAATTGGAATCAGAAAAATAATTATGACTTGTAAATTTTGTAAATGGTGGACTGACGTAATGGTTCAAAAGGTTGAAAGAACAACGATGACGAATGTCCAAAGTAAACATTTACCTGCCTTTTACAGGAAATTAGCTTAACAATTATCAAAGGAAATTCTTATCCGTTCGCATCTGTACTAGGAAATAGATATAGGAAAACCTACTCACTCCAATGTACAGATCGAAAAACTCGCCACCTTCGATTGAGCGGAAATATGAGTATTGGACTGATTGTAATATTTCAAAAGGTTGAAGGATCAACGATGTTAAATGTCCAAAGTAAACAATCAGCTGGCTCTTACAGCAAATAAGTTTAATCATTATCAAAGGAAATTCTTCTCCGTTCGCATCTGTACTAGGAAATAAATATAGGAAAACCTACTCGCTCCAATGTACAGATCGAAAAACTCGCCCCCTTCGATTGAGCGGAAATATGAGTATTGGACAAATTGTAATATTTCAAAAGGTTGAAGGATCAACGATGTTAAATGTCCAAAGTAAACATTCAGCTGGCTCTTACAGCAAATAAGTTTAATCATCATCAAAGGAAATTCTTGTCCGCTCGCATCTGTACTAGGAAATAATATAGGAAAACCTACTCGCTCCAATGTACAGATCGAAAAACTCGCCCCCTTCGATTGAGCGGGAATATGAGTATTGGACTGGTTGTAATATTTCAAAAGGTTGAAGGATCAACGATGTTAAACGTCCAAAGTAAACATTCACCTGCCTTTTACAGGAAATTAGCTTAACAATTATCAAAGGAAATTCTTGTCCGTTCGCATCTGTACTAGGAAATAAATATAGGAAAACCTACTCGCTCCAATGTACAGATCGAAAAACTCACCCCCTTTGATTGAGCGGAAATATGAGTATTATTAAAACTGATAATGATTAAGCAAGAAGTATTTATCTGAATTTTAGAATATCAGAGTATATAAAGCATAATAATAGACAAAAGCAAAGGTTAATCGCTGTCCGAATCAGAACTCTCACTCATTACATCATTACGCAAAACATCAATACCATTGCCATGATCAACATTCAACGTAATATCAGGTTTCAAGTCTTTAACATGAAAATCTCCCAAGATATTACCATGGAGATCTTTCAATGTGTATACTAACGGAGATTTAACTATATGAACAATACAAGGAAGGAATTTTGGAATTAGTTTGGCACAAAAGTTGTCTGCAGCACTTGATTGAAAGAAATTGCGTTTGAGAACTCTATCACCTTTATTGAATTGCAGATGTCGTCTACGCAGATTATACCTATTTCTATTAAGTTCGTAGGAACGCCGCATTCTGTGCTGGACTTTAAGGTAAAATTCTGGAATTTGCTGAACAAAATTTGGATCTATGACGTTCGGGTCGATATTGACTGGATTATTGGCAACAGGTGCAATCTTTCCATAGAATGACCCATCAACTGGTACATTTCTGTAAAAATTTAGAAAGCTGGATGAGTATACTGTGACTTCATGTTTAGCAAGTCTGATTGCTTGAGCTATTTGATGAATAGACTCATCCCGAGTTTTATGAGAGTCTTTGATATAGGACCTAATTGCAGTAACGATGGTTCTGTTAACTCGCTCAGTAGGATTTACCTGAGGGGTATATCTTGCTGAATACCAGATCTTCTGCACTTTATATGAGTCTGCAAGCGCTTTAAATTCTTTAGAAATGAACTGTGGACCATTATCTACAACGATGATTTGAGGAACTCCAAATATAAGGAAAACTTGATTTTCTAAAAATTTTACAATTGAGCTTGAAGTTGCCTTAGGCATTGGATGAACTAGTACAAGTTTAGTGA